CATCTTCTGGTAGATGGTCTTTTGTCACTCTATGGTGAGTACTCCTTGTTTTCATGAAGCCCAAGATTATTATTTTTAATTTGATTTCTTTAGTAGTAGGTATTTTTTATTTTCCCATGAATGCTGATACAGTGTGATTTCACAACCTTGACAAAAAGTGTATGTGGAAAGTCTTATCTAGGTTATGTGGAAAGTCTTATCTAGGTTATCTGTGTTTTATCTGTGTTTTGCTTAGAAAGTAGATGTCACTGTCTACATTGGCATCTTTTTCCTGGTGCATGTTTTCATTTCAAATGCTGTATGTTAGCATTTTGGATGTTGTTACTATGATATAATCATTACTAATATGTTAATGCTAGCACATTATGCTGGCAACACAGGAAGGATCTAAAGATCTAGACAGAATTGCTGCTGAAAAATACTTACAGGGTGTTTGTGGACGTGGGTTTTTTTCTTAAGATGAAGAAATAAGTGATGTAAAGAAGGTGGAGGGATGTCCTCATAGGTATTTCCCAGTAAGGACATAAATTCTGTAATGACATAATGAATTTACATCCTTACTGAAACAAATCTCCTTCTATTGTTCTATTCTTTGAATAGTTTCATGCAGTTTTTGAAATCACAGACTTGTGAAATGTGAATATCATTTCAGTACTTAGTAATTCAGGTCTATTAATTGGTTGACAGTGCGTATTTTACAACGCAGTTGTGAGCAAGAAAAATCTTTGTAACTTCTTTAATGAACTGAAAAATCCAAGTTTAAAATTTTCTATATGGTCCTGAGAATGTGACCTTAAGGACTTGGACTTGCATTAGGCAGTAATGTAGTCCAAAATAGCTATGTCTGAGTTACTGTGTTAGACAAGGTTACTAAAGTTTACTAGCAGCAGTAACCAGTGCATCTACTCAATCAACTTACTGACCTGGTCCAGCTCCCACTGAAAAATGAGGAGAGGTTTATTACTGATATCAAATTGGAATTGATTTGGGTTTTGGCTGACATTTTCCAAATGTTTTCATTATAATAATGGTTTTGTATGTGCCCAGTAGGATTGAAAAGTTTAGAAACTTTGTGACATAAAATATTGACAAATTTCAAATCTCAGGAAAAAAAAAATGGATGGAGAAAAGACATGTGTCATAGAATGGTTAGGGTTGGAAAGGCCCTTAAGATCATCTAGTTCCAACCCCCAATATGAAGGTGAAAGATGAGTCAAAGCCTTGTCTTGTTTAAACATGTAGCATGAAAACCATATGTGAACTAATCCTCTCCCAAAAAGAGGAATTAAATGTTTCCTGTGCACTGCTGGTGGAGATGTGGAATGTTCTGGCATGCCTAATGGGAATTTTAAAATGCTTACCCCTCAGTGTTTGTTCTCTTAATGCTAAAATAAGCAAGACAATTGTTTAAAGAAGACTGACTTAGAAAAGAGAGAGCAGTAGGTAGGAGATCATGTGGATTGGTTTTCCATTGGAAATGATAAGTGCTACAATACAAGCAAAGGTGTTCTGGCCTGATCAGAAGGCAGGAAAATCCCCTACAGGAGACCAGGCGCAAAGGTCAGTGAGGGGGCTCTTCATGCATATATTTATAACACATTTCTGCAGAGAAACCAATTACTTTCCTTTAGTTAAAGGTTGAGTACTTCATTAAAACCCTAGCAAACTGCCAGTTTGCTTTCATTGTAATGAGTTATAGATGAAGGAAACACATGAGGGTTGGGGAAGGAAAAGTGAAATTTGAGCTAATAAGGAAGTTTCATTTCCTTTTTTTTTTTAATGTACATCTAGAATAGTTACAAATAAGTATTGTGGCACTAATGAGCATTAAGAAAATGTACAAGCTGTGGGCTTTGCAGAAATGATGGTTTTAACTGACGTGTCTTCTTGTTGCAAGTGCTTGAAATACTATGCAGATGTTGCCGAATGTCTGGATTAAATAGCTGCCAGAAAGTGTCGTTTTCAGTTACATTTAACACCCTGAGCTACAATAAGCAGTGCAGTTTAGAAGCATAGGTCTCTGTTTCTTTAGGATACAAATAACACAGAAGAAGCACAATGGAATTGTGTTTACCAGATAATTTATTCCAGTTTCTGATTAAGTGGTTTCCAATTTCAAAAGTTGTTGAGTAAATATTTTATCTTTTTTTCCTTAAACATTTGTTTAAGGCTTGTGTGGGGAAAAAAATGGAGTTTGCAATATCCAATCTATTTAACGTGTGATTAAACATCACTTAGTCAATCATAGAATCACAAACTGGTTTGTGTTGGAAGGGACCTTAAAGCTCATATAGTTCCAACCCCCTGCCATGGGCAGGGACACCTTCCACTAGACCAGGTTGCTCCAGTCCTCATCCAACCTGGCCTTGAAAATTGCCAGGGATGTGGTATTATTCTGCCGTTTCAGGACTAAGATGTTACTAAATATCACTATTTTCAAGTGAGTGGTTCATGAAAAATACATATTTAATGCTAGGATTTTATTTTTACTTGATGTCAGGTGTGTTGATATCACTGACCTATTGGCTCAGTAATCTATGAAATAAAATAAATATACATGAAAGTTCAAGTCCATCAAAATACGACAGTGTTACCAAAAATAAGGATAAGCCTTAATAAATTATGCAAGCAGAAATATTTTATTAATAAATATGAACCTGTCCTGTGGAAGAATACCTTTCACCACAAGCTGGAATTGGTTTTGTTGATGCGAGCAATGTTACTACAATATATTAATTCTTTATAATGGCAGCAGAAATTAAAGATTTTTCTTCCAGCTTGATTTTTGGTGTGGCTGCAGTTTCTTTGAATACAATGTCTTATATAGCACTAGACTTTCCCCTGCAAAGAAAGAAGCAGCAGTCACCTAAAACTGCCATTACCTGCTCTCTGTCAGCTACCCAGATTTTCAGTGGTACTAACTTGTGTAAGTGTGCTGTAAAAACAGTTTAATAAGTAGCAAAAACTAAAATGATGATGTGAGAAATAACTTGGTCTGGTTCTAGTACCCAGTGAAACCTGCTTCTGCATCAGAAAGAGACAAGCTTAATGTTTATCGTGACCATATTTATTGGAATCATGTTTATTGTGACTGTATTATGTACTATATTTAGTAATAAATGCAAATATTACTGAACTCTTGTATGTTGGTAAGTTTTTCTCTAACAGGCTAGTGATAAGTCCAGTTAAATGTTGCTAATTCTAATGAAATGGGAGGATTCATTCTGTACTGGATACTCAGTAGCCAGACTGAGGAACCAAAACAGCATTCTGTGTGGGTTGTGTGTGTGTTAGTGACTGATACCAGGTGTAAGAAATGTGATGCAGTGGAAATTAGGGGCATTCACAAGAGACTTCCCCATACTTGAGCAAGGAGTTGACTTCTGCTTTGAGGCAAACTACATGGTTTTAACTAATGCATCTGTGCTGATCTGATAAATCTGAAGATAAACACCTAATCCTGTTTTAAAATGTGACTAAGTAGTTTAAATGAGCAGGGAATTGAAAATTCCAGGCTCTTGTTATTTTAATCAGCCAGTACAGCCTGTGCTTCGTGCAATAAATGTCACTTGAGGTATCTCCTGACAACTACAGGCTTGCCTAAGGTAATACACATCGCCGATGGCCTATGATATGTTGGTCATTGCCTCAACACAGATTTTAGTGGGGTTTACACTAAACATTAAGCTAGGCTATACATTAAACTAGGCTACAGTCAGCAGAGGGCATGTGATCTTGAAAAGTCTGGTAAGAAAATAGTATCTGGCTGGGGATGAACTTCACAGACATGATGAGCATGGGGTGATGCTGGGGGGAAGGGTGTTTGAAATATTTGGTCAAAAGTACAATGTGTTGCTCTTTAACTGAGAAATGAGAACTTTATCCAATTATTCCATATGCACAAAATATGTATTACCTAATCAGAGTTTCAGAGAGAAAAGAAAACTACTTAGTCCAGTGTCTTTCTCTATGGTTACCTTCATAAACATGGAAAACAACAAGTGGACTAGTGTTTGCAACTACAATAATGAAAGAAACCTGTACCTTACTCCTTTTGGTTGCATAGTAATGCGTTATTAATGACAGGGCTAAGAACTGCAGGAATCTGGGAGCTCCTACTTCTCTAACTTGTAAAGCTCATGCAAAGACTGTATTTCTCTGAAGAGAGGTGTGTTTGAGTATACCTAGCTCTTAGGGAAAGGGAGAGGGAATAATTGGTTTTACTTACTGAGCGTTTAAAAGCATTTTCTGAACCCCTGCACTCAAGACATTGTCTATACATTGTAAAAAAGCCAGATTTCCTTCTGAAGAACTAAGGAGGAAAATAATGTTATATCATAAAAAGCCAACAGCCCTTCTGCACAGGTGCAGGCTGCTTGAACCAAAATGCTTTCTTCCTATGCAGCTGAGTAACTAGCTATCCTGAATTTTCCTTTCATATCTCCAGGGAAGTAGATGGAGAAACAACTCTGGAGTTCACCCCATGCATACCAGCAGATAGTAGCCTTTTGTAAGGTGTCTACATGGATGAATGAGTGTTTTCTAATTTCTCTGTTTATGCCAAGTTACATTAATGTTAGCATCTCAATGTTGAAAACTAGAAAACAGAAGTTCAAATTGCAGATAGAAGTCAGCTAAATGAATAAAATAATAGAAACTGAATGAATGCTTTGAATTTTCCATAAAGATGTTGCGGCATATTTCTAAATACTCTGTGGTGTGGAATTACTTTTGCTGTTGACACTGAAATTAGACTGAACTTGAATTCACATAAATGGAGCAGATTTGAGCCCAGTTTCCACATAAAAACTCACTTTTTTTCTCAGGAAAAAAAATAGTCCCTTGAGGCCTGGTCTTTTTGCAAGCAATTCTGACCCACTTCATATATATTACTTGTAAAATTTATATCCTTTCCTCTCTCACAGGCACTGCATGAAAAATTAAAGGTGGGGGAAAATGCATTGTAGATTGCATCAGCTTTTTCCTCTTTATTCCCACAGGCACAACAGCTAACAGATCTGGAGCAAAAACTAGCAGTTGCAAAAGATGAACTGGAAAAGGCCGCCCTTGACAAAGTAAGAATTGTACTGTAATGTAAGCATGTTTATCAGCTGTGAATGTTCCAGTGTAATTTGACAAACATAAATCAAAGTCTTGCAATGATTTAAATGCATACTTGATGGCATGTACCTTGGAGTAATGAATTGAAATCTGTGGAACTAATTATGATGCATGGAGTTAAGTACCACTGCAAAGTTATTTAAGAGGAGAGGGATCAAATTACAAACATCTCAAAAACCCACAGCAAGCCAAGTGATGCAATTCTTTATGAAGAAAAGTACGCTAATGAGAATGTGTAACCAATATGATTTTTATTTAAGGTTTAGTTATAGTTCCAAGGAGGATGCAGTATAGAAATGGGTTGGTATCTCTGTTGTTTGGGAAGAAAATGTCATGCAATAGGGAAGCAGTTTATCAGAAAGGAAAACAACTTCATTATGGTATCAAAGATTACTTCTTTTTTGTTTGGCTTCCTGGTATTTTCAGCTTCCATTAGACATCTAAAGAAAAGTTTGCCTCTTGCACTAAAAGCATTTTTCTTTCATCTTCCATATTGTCATCACTGTAATCACCCTCTTGAGTAGTAAGGGTTTGCATCCAGCCTTGCAAGATGTGATCTGCGTAAGCAGTGCTCACAGCAGCATTATTCAAACCTCTGTGTGTGTCTGGTGCTATGTCACGTTTCTTGTTAGCCCACTGAACTGAACTGCTCCACATCTTAATTTAAAAACCAAGCACACTCCTTCTTTGCTCATATAACACTCACAGGCAAGGTCTCTCACTAGTGCCAATACACCGTCTGTGGCAGTGGCAAGAGAGCAATGCTTGCCCCAAATATCCTCCAAATGCAGTTATTCATTATAATGCAGGCAGTTGTGAAGGAAAAAGCAAAGAAGATATGATGTCAGGAATTTTTAATGAGACTGCTCTTAAGGGATTCTGTCTGCAGATTAAAAGGGGATTTGCAGTGCATGCAACTGACTTCTCTGACCCTCTGTTTCTTTCCTATTAAAAATGATAGGATTTTAATTCAGGGCTCAGTTATGGTTCCGTAGGCTTACCAGAAGCCTGACACCACCTTCTTGTAAATCATCATGGAGTCAATCTGTACACTGCAAAATGGCAAGCAGGTGTTAGAAAACCAGTGCAAGTGAAGGAAAAATATAAAGGTCATGCCAGTGAGAATTATCAGACCAGAAATACACATTTGACTAGTTCTAACTACAGAGCAATAACCATTTAAGTTAACCTTTTCCCCTGGTTAAGAGCTTTTCTTTATGACCTTTGTACTGAAAAGAGACAGTCAGTGGTCCATCCACGTCTTAAGTGGCGGGTGTGGGAGATGAGAGGATGAGAAATTATCCAGAGGGATGTCTGGATCAGAGAACTGTGGTTTCAAATCAGTGTGATTCACAGGGAGCACAAGGGTCATATAGTGCTGTAATGGCTGAGTCCACATCTTCAAGAAAAATCAGTCTGCTACCGCCACCGGTTTGGCGTTCAAGCTTATTTTGACTATGTTAGATGGTGATTTATGTTCTCTATGCAGTAACTTCTTGAAAAGGTAGGGGAGAAGACATATTACGTGGAAGAAGTCAATTAGAAATTAAAAGATGCCTGAGATGGATGAAGTAATCCTTTCACTTTTCAACTGCCGTTAGGTCAGAGACATATCAGTCTGACTTAAGGTTCATATATATTTTAGTAAGTAATTCATGCAGAGTCTGCCCTCTTTCATAATCCAGCATTCCTTCTCACTGCATACATCTTAAGGGAAAGACATCTGGTTTTGTCTGTTTGCAAATAAACCAAACTTCATTCTATCTCCTATTTCTTTGATTTTCCTTATTGTGCTGCGCGTTAGACTTTCTATAGTTGTCTTTGATCCTACCATTGAAATGTACCCTACTAACTGGTTTTGTTTGCTTATTTTTAAAGAAAACTTCAGGTTTTCCGAGTTAGGAAATACATTCCCTGGTCCCAGTTCAGGGGAAGTTTATCTGATGTAAAACATGGAATATTTGTCAGGTTCTAAAGAGTACTTGTTTAACAAAAAAATGAAACAAGGTGATGTGTGCCAAATGCCATTGAAATATTTTTATGTTGTATATGTAAGATTTCATGCATGCAGTATGTAGTGTGTAATGTTACTCATACCTGTATTTTCCATCAACTTTTGCCATGGTATGTCTTGATTTATGAATCTTAAAAAAAGATCTTTGAAATTTAGTTGAAAACATCTATGGTTTATTTGCTATGCACCGCAACGGCATAAGATGCTCATGGGGGAAGTCATCTTTGTTGGATTAAAATCAATCTTTATAACTTGTGGAAAAACACCAATTAGGGTGAATGTTATAACAAAGTTTTATGCAAACTCTATGTCTTTGCAGTACTTGGGAACGTTTAATTCTCTGTAACTATTATATGTAAAAGGCTGGACAGTCTATGACATTTTATAGATTGTATTATTGTTTTCAGAGAAAATAGTATGTAATAATTATTTGCAATAACCAATGTGAGTAAAATTGCATGGAGGAAGGGAAGAGTGCAGTGACTTAGAGTTAGGGGTGCAAGGCACAGTAACTTAACAGTATTAAAAACGTGGTTTAAACAGCCTGAATTTCTTCCACGAATAAGCAGCAGCAGCAGCTGCTTGTAAATGTTTGGTTTAATGCAGAGGGAGAAAGCAAGCAATTCTGTTCATAATAATACATCTTAGAGAACTGGTATTTTCTTCTTTTTCCCAGGAGTCACAGCTGAAAGCTCTGAAGGAGACTGTGCAGCTTTGCCTGTCTTCTGTTCTGCACAGTCAGCCTCCTGCTAGGAATCTAATCCCTGCAAAACCAGCTGAGAAGCTGACAACCCCAGTTGCAAAGGGCTCAAAAGTTCCATTTCAAGTGACAAGCACCAAGGTAGGATTTCTATCTATCTTGTTCTTTTTTTTAAACATCTGTGGAAGTTTGTCCTGTCAGAACATCACCCTGTAACTAAGGAGGATTTTAAATTCATTGAAAGATTAGGATGAATTTTGAGGACAATTCTAAGCCTGTTTCTGATGTCATTAAATTTTGTTTAAAAGTTGGGAAACAGCTACTTTTTTTGCTGAGGAACAAAATCCTGTCTATCACTTGTTAAATGGACTGTGTTTGCATAATAAATTTATAAGAAAGATGGATTTGCATCTGAAACAAGGGAGGATGCTAATTCATAGGATTACTTACCTGTCAGGTGCTGATAGTAAGTTTGTAGTAATACAGAAATAAGCAGTAAGATGGTTTTTGCTTATTGTGGCTTCTTAGTGAAAAATAATGATACAGAAACAGAACAGTCTGGGAGACCCAAATCAAATTTGACAAAAGGGATCTATAGGAGTGATAGTAGGCCATATTCCAACGTAGGGAATTTTCCAATCATGCAAGTTGGGAAGGGCAGTTTAGGAGAAACATGAGAAAAAAAAATATGAAAAATGTTTTGGTTCAATAAATTCAAGCATTTTAATACAGTCAAGATATGCAGTAATTAACACCTGTGTTGAGGGGTTGCATTTTGCTCATATATTCAGCTGATTCAATAGATGTAGAAGAAATCTGTGATTTCTTTAAATGGAAATTTCTTTTCAATTATAAAGGAAGTTTTACAGAAGAATGACTGATGGACACTTCAATGTCCTCCTTAAATTCCAGAATGCCTTCCTGAAATATAAACAGGAATTGCTAGCTCATAGCAAATTTTTATATGGCAGCTATTGATAGTCGCTGATAGTACAGAGGCTGAAGCCAAAAATTAGTCATCTTTCTGTGTGTAATTAAAGTTGAAATATAATTTCAGAAAGCAGGGTAGAATTATAAAACTAGATCTCACATTACTACTTTTAAAATAATAATGATTGTCGGTTCCTTAATAACTGTTTTATAGGGAAAATCCTTCGTTCCGAAAAGTTACTACCTCTGGAAACAAAGCACTGTTTTAATTAATAACAGCACATGGGGATATTAGTGCTCATTTAGATTAAGATCACTGGTTCTGGGTTCTTCAGGAGAGTAGATTCTTGTAGGTGATACAGACTGAGTTTCACTCTGGGAGCTCAGGAGCACAGTTTTCCTAGTTGATGTGGCTGTAAAATTGACTGTCTTGTTCTTATTGTCCTTCTCTTCGCATTGGAAGGGTTTGTGCATACGTCATAAAAGTGTAGGTGTACTGAAGGGTAAGGCTGAGCAAGCCACTATACCTGTGTTTAAGAGTGTTGTAGGGTCAGAACCTTTGAAGCATTTGAGGTCTCCTTGATTTTACAGGTATTACTGCAGTGAAGCAAAGGAAATGGGAATACAGTGTAGAGATTAGAATTAGTTTTTTTGATATTTGACTGAAACATGGAATAGACCTCACACAGATTTTGTTTTTTAAAGTTCCTATTTGTAAAATCTATCAGTATTTCGTGCTTCAGCCTTTTGAGAACCAGCACTTAGTCCTCCGTACTGAAAAGGGCTTGAATAAGTTATATTGCCTCTTTAATAGACATCCCTCACATTGCTCTGCACTTGACATATGCCATGAAAATGTCAGAGAAAATAATGCTCTGCAATCCTCTTCTTACACACACTGACACCTCATTGTATTAAATCTGTGCATCATCTGTGATTATAAAACCACTGAGATCTGCTACTGTGAAATAGGTTGTCAGAGAACCCTAGTCAGTCCAGAGTTTTACCCTTTGCACTTGAGCTGTATTATAGAAGGCTTTTTTTATGATAGCATCCATTCTTAAGTATCCTTTCCTTTGCTTTTTCTTCCTTCTCAAACTAACCAACTCATAACTACAGATGTATAGCTTGCTGGTGGTTTTTATTTTATTATCATTAAATTTACATACACATTTTGATATGGCAGGCTAGTATTTTTAAGTGAATATAAATGTGTGTGATTACTTGAATATGTGTTCATATGTAAAAATGGGAACTTGAGACGAACAGAGCTTATGAATCTTGTCATGTCTGATAAGCAGCAGTTTCACCTTCAGGGAAGAAAAGATGATTTGCCTGGTAAATTTATTTCAATGATATTTTCATCCAGGCTAAAAAATGCTTTCTGAAAATGTCAAACTTACTTTAAATCCATTGAAGGGTACATCATAAAATGTATGATACCTGTATCACTTGGGGACAATCATCCCCGGGATTGGAATGCTTCCTGGTTAAATAAAATAAATAAATAAATAATAAAAAAGCAGGTTTTATACTTGTATTCAGAATTGGTAACCATGATACCTGTGCGCTCATTAGAGGGAGTTCACACAAGAACATGGCATAGAAAGGGTAAATAGGAAAACCAAATGCCAAATTTGAAAGTTCATTAAAAACAAGTATTTTCTGGTAAGGTATTTTGGTCTTTCTAGGGAATGTGATATAAGGAAGTAAAAATCATGTTTAGAAAAAATCAGTACAAATCCATGCATAAAGTGATTTACACTAAACCCAGAAATAGGCTGACAGCATTTAAAACCATCTTATATGCAATCAGAACTACAGGATAATTTTCTGATTTTAGACTCATTCTGAAAAATGCGTTAGAACTGCACAGTTCTTGAACATTCAAGACTGAAATCAAGAACTTACTATAATTTCTTGATAGCGTAACTTACAGAAACACAGTCCAGCTTCTCAGCTGATTCATATTGATATTGCTCTGTTTAAATTACTTGTTATTTCTTTGTTAAATCAAGGATCCAAGTCAGAATAACTCATGCTGCTTTTACAACCCTTAGTTGTGTGAGTTCAAAGTCTCTCTGGGAAATTGTAATGGAAAAACTATTACATTTCGGAGACTGATCAACTGAAAGCATACAGAAAAAGCATACAGAAAAAAGTGTACAGAAAAAAGAAACTTTTGCTTTGTCTGTAGTTAAGAGGCCTTTATAGCTACTGTTTTGTCCCTTTGAAGGTTCGAAAGGAGATACTTAATATCTAGTAGCATGTCACACTCGTCAATTTTTGCAGCTTGTCTGGTTGTTTTCAGCAATTCATTATAAACTGCTGTAGCAATGAGTGAATACCAAAGGCATACAGGATGTTATAGTGACCACACATTGCAAATTAGTTATTTACATTTTGGCATCCTTTGCTGTGCAACAAATTACAGATGCCGGAATACTTCTAGATCAGTACTTGAGAACTTGAGCTCAATTGTGCAAATGATAACCTCAAGGTAACCAACCTCTGCCTTCTCTGTTTCAGTGGTGAATATAATGTCGTAATTTGGACTGGCATGAAGTTTAGTATAGCTGCAGTTCCAAATTATGGGACAATTGAAAAAAAACCATGTGATTTGGTGAATCTGTGGTTCATATTCCTTCAGGTTTCTCTCTCAGAGTGTCAGAGCACTGCCCTAGAGAACTGCAAAGAAAGAAAGTTGAATGCTCAACTCCCACTGCAAGTCAAGTGGGAGAAAAAAGTGGAGAAACATTTCCAAAGCATGATTTTAAGATTAGACTAGCCTCAGTAGGGTTGCATAAAATTGTTTCAATGTGAATTTAGAGCCCAAAATAGGAGAAGCACGTGAGTTAACTTTATTCGAAGTAATCTTCAAAACAAAGTTACTGACTTACATAGAAATTCTGTTGAAAGGCAGTAAAGTGGTTACGTAAGTGCCAAAAAAATTTTAACTTGGTCAAGGTGAGCCTTCATCCTCAAACAGTAACATTATGCCTAAATATTTACAGCAATATTCAATGTTCTGTATTACACAAGCTGATCCAAGAGCTCCAAGCACAGCAAGCAAGCCTAAATCTCTGTTAGAAAGTAATTAAGAAAACCAGCTTCTTTCCCAATGCATTATTTAGGTATTAAAGTGTGTATATTATTTATTGAAGAAGTTTTGGTGGTTGGTTGTGGGTGTCTTGGTTTGGTTTTTTTTTCTTAAAGTGCTAGGAGCTCTAGAGAAATGTGGAATACTGATGTGGTAGATAGCATGTATCACCAATGGAAGTCTGGACCCCGTCTGCTATGCAGGATTGTACTTGTGCGAATGATGTACAGCCTGTGCTCTGCAGTTGGATAGTTTTAATTTTTAAGCTTTTTTAATATAGCGTATTTCTAAAGTTTTTATATTCCTATGCAGAATGTAAACTGCATTTATCTTGCCATCCTGATTTATATCTGTTCCCATCTTCATCTTTTAAATGCACATAAAGACTAAGGAAGCCTAAAATTTCACATGTTTAGGGCCTGAAAGAATACTTGTAATTGTTTGGAGATTGAATTATTCCTGTATTTTACCACAATATTCTTAAGTTTGATGAACTGCTTTTTCACTTATTGTCCCTGTGTGGGGTAGCCCACATAAAATGTAGCATGGGCAACTGAATGAAACAAAGTTCTATTCCTTCCACTAATTAAGTGATCCTGCAGTTTGCCATGTGGTACTTTGTTTTTCTCACCTGTGAAATAAGGGACACTGTCTACTGCAAAACAGAGTAGGAGAGCGATTTTCAGCATGCTGCTTGTTATCAGGTCCACGCTTTGGCACTCATCCAAATAAGTAACTTTCAATTTATGATGAGATGAACAGGGAGATGAGATGGAGACATCCTTGCGTGGGTAACTCTGTTAGTGAATGCAGACACATCATTATAATTTATTTTTTTTTTTTATATGACACTGGTTGCCTTGTTCATTATATGTTTTCTGAAATCTTATCCTTAACTTCTGAGTTGGAGTGGGCTGATCATGTGGGTTTTTGGGATAGGGGTGGAGTGGTTTTGTTTTTGAATGAGCAGCACTATCTAGGTGATAAATTTTCAGCTACCTTAAGGCTATGATTTGCATAGGTGAGTCAGATAGTGTTCTGTATCTGTCTTTGTAATCCTTCAGGTACTCTGACTGATAAATTGCTTATGAGTTGGGGTTGGTCTTGGCAG